ACTATTGTATAACTGCATTTGTTGCTCTTCTAAACAGATGCCTTTCTAAAAACTACATTCCGAAACAATGGAAACACAGTCGAATCTATCCTATTCCAAAAAGAAACACATTTGATGGAAATCTTGCCCTATCAGCCTAATAGAACATGCCAGAAAAATATATACTAAAATCCTTACAAACAGATTAAACAATGTCTTTTAGCCAATCAAAATCGAGGATCTGCCGCACATTTTTTGTATAGCACTTGGGGTAAATTGAAAATCAGGGTTCTCCCAAAACCAGTGTTGCCAACCGCAAATAATTTCTAAGATTCCGCAACTAAAACTTGAAATACATGTGCAGTTACACAAATAAATTTTGTGAATTTGCATATTGAAATGTTCAGATTTTCATATAGATATGTTCATATATGCAACTAAATTCATAATCCACAAGTAGATTTTTTATTTTGTTGCAGGACCACAACTAAATTCATAATCCACAAGTAGATTTTTTATTTTGTTGCAGGACCGCAACTAAATTAAAAATTAGATTTCAGACACTGCCTAAAACACTGATCCCTATACGATTAGCGCCTGCAGATTTTATTTATTTGCGAGTGTGACACACAAAAAAAGAAAATCTGAATTTAAAAATAGAAATTTAGAATTAGAATGTTAGGGTTATGGGCTACAATGATATGTTGGTGTTTTTTAATATAAAAATTTTATCTACGTCATTTTTTATTAATCCACCAAGATCGATTTAAATATAAGTTTCCTTCTTTTACACGTGTTCGAATACTATGTTGGGCTGATCCGGAATACAAAAAATTTTTGTTCTATGATTGGCCATTTCCTTTTAGGAGATCGTCTGAAACCAGGTAATTTTTAAACAAATTTGTAAATTAAAAATAAGGTAACATATGTAAAATGCTACCTGGAAATCGATTGCAAAATCAATTCATTTTTTATGGGTATAATAATCGATTTCTGCAATCGCATCGTGATGCATAATTTTGAAAACAACGATAATTTTTTATAATAACGTCCATATGTGCATTTTTAGAGTACGCGCATGGGGCGTTATTTTGAGGCAAATATAAAATTTCTGGAAAATGTTTTTTATTTATTTTTGATTCAAAATTTTATGTATAAGTATATATTACTGGGCAAAAATTTGTGAATAACGGCAATTTGGCTCAACCGAACAAATGATATTGGCTATCAAGTGCCACAAAGTGGCACTTGTCAACAATCATTTGTCCGGTTGAGCCAAATTGCTGTTATTCACAAATTTGCCCAATAATGGTGTTATCCGATAATTTATGATCATGATTGTAGGGAGTCACTCGCTGAGTTTGTTTTTTTTTTGAATATTGGAAAATATCGTACACATGAAAAAAATAACAGAAAGAAAGTTTTTTATGATCATAAGAGTTTTCGGATAAAATACTTTATTCGCTTTTTATTTTATTTTATTTAAGTTATTTATATTTATTTTATTTAAATTGTTGATATATAAACATATTAATATGCTATTTATGACTAACTCATTTTATTTATGATATGAGAAAAATAATTGTAGAAGATATTCATATATTATGAAAGTAAGCATAAATATTTTATATAATAAAATACAAAATTGTTCTACATTAGCAAAAATTATTATTATAAATTATCTACAGGCTTTACATAGATTAACTAATTACAATATGTTAGCTCTATTTCATTATAGTCTTTAATGATCAGCAATTTTTAATTCATCTAGTAAAAAGTCCAATCTAAAAAAAAATTAAAAAATGCAAAAAATAACTATAAACTTAGATATGATACTAACAAAAAGATTTTTTATCATCTCAACATCTAGATATTACTTTATTGAGAATTTCTATTTGTACTTGGTAGGTGTAGTACCCGGATATAAGAAAAAAAACAAAAATTATTAATATCTCATAATTTTATTAAGAAAACCAATGTAATGTTCTTAAGTAAAAATGTTCAGCACCTAATTTTACATATAAATATATCTTTAACTCTAACCTTAACACCTACTCTGTTCACCTTAAAAAATACTGCCAAACCCACCTACAAGAATTCTGCCAAGACCTTCTCTTCAAAGGTTCATCAGTTACCAAAATAGTTTGATTAAATAGGCAGCTGTCAATAGAAATCAAGCAAATCTATATTTGAAAAAAAATTAATGCCTTAATTTTACAGCTCATATCTCAAATAAATTTAAAAGCTATTTTAATGATTAATAATCAAACAAAAGCTTATGATCTAAGTTTTCTTTTAAATATTAAACTATTAATATAGCTTTAAAATTCATTGAGATATCAGCTATAAAGATTAAGGTATTAATTTTTTTTCAAATGTAGGTTTGCTTGATTTCTATTGATGGTTGCTCAAATTTTTATTTTTCCCTTAATAATAATACATGATTGCACTATCCTTAAATCCCCTGGCCTCGCAGCATTTCCAGATCAAATTCAAATATTTCAACCACCTCTTCTGTCAATGATTCTTCTTATAAGGCTTCTACAAGTTCTATTATTGATAAGCTTTATATTGAAGAAGAAATAAAGAAATCTAGAGCTTATAAGAACCTTATTGAGAGTAATATTGAATTCTTGATAGGGCAAGTAAAGAAATTTATAGTTAAAAGGGCAGAGAAGTTTTTGGCTGAGTCTGATGAACCAGTTCTTCAGGTAATTTTTGAAGAGCATTTTTTGCCAATACATTAAGTTTAGAACTATGTATAGTTATAGATGGCAATAAAAGAACAGAGTCAGGTTGCTATGGCTACACAAATCTTTTTGTCCTTTTAGAAGGCGGAGACTGTGTGGTTCTGGAACTTAAGTATATCAATTTAGCCAGCTTTATGAAAGGGAGCACCAGTAAATTTATTGAACAATACAGGGCCAAAGAACTAAATGAATTGGATAAAAGCCTGCATAACAAAAGCAAAGCAACCTTTTTGGCAAGATAGTATGCTTACTGGTCCAAGGAAGAAAAAAATATTATATGCCAACTATAAGTAAGATACTCGATAATAGTATAAACCAATTATCGAGGTATTTCACTACAATTGAAAAAGGCCCTGTTCTATTTGACCAGACTTTTTTTAGTATTTGTGACCAATATATAAATACAACAAAGTCAGTTCCAGTCCAACTTAGAGGATTTGTTGTGTTGGTAGCGAGGTTTAGTGTTATTTTATAATATTCTATCAAAGAAAGAACAATTAAGCAAAAATATTACTTCGCTTAATTGTTTAATACCTTACTATTTTTATTTTTTTTTATTATTATTATTTTCTTTTTCTTTAATTTTTATTTTTATTTTTTATTTTATCTTTGTTTTTCATTTTTTTTATTTTTTTTATTATTTTACTTTTTTTTACAAGCAAAAAGGTTATGAATTTACACTCCTATACAGATGACTTGTTTGTTTCTATAAAATTTTTTACTCTTATTTCACTTAGAAGCATGCAACTTGGGCAACTCTTACAAGTTCTTATTCAATTTAAAGTAGAAATATGGAAATAAGTTGGGTGGTCAGAATGAGTAAGAAGTTGAAAGATAATAATATGAAATTAGCTGAATTACCTAGTCTTTTTTAAGAATTTAATCAATACTTAAATAAGTTTGATGAAAATATTTGGTCTGTTGTCAAGGAACTTTCTTTGGCTAATGAATTTATTTGTCAAGTATTGTAATCTGTAAACTTTGAAATGCTCTTGAATACTGCAAATTATTAGACATTTCTAAGTTTAAAATTTACTGCAAAATCAACAAAATCTGGTATAGACTTTTTATATATATCTTTTTTCACATTAAATAAAAAAGTTGGCTTATACAATTCTTTTTATAAACAGGAAAGCCTTCTACAAATACAACAGATAGAAAAATTAAAAGCATTCTGGGAAAATGTACAAGAAATATGGGGAAAAGTTAAAAAGCCTAACTCTAATAACTATATAGGGTTATATTTTTTCTTATACAGGTATCATACTCTAGGTATTTTTAGAAAATTTGTGCTTTATTTTACTGTATTCACAGCCTTTTTGGCTAGAGATTTTTTAAACTTGCAACTATATAGTTAATGATGCCTGACAAGTGATGAAACCCTCATCATTGACAAGGCCATTTTGTCAAGTGACTTTCAATTGCAATTGACAAAACCTATGATGATCTAAACAATTTCTAGACTAAAGATCACTTCAAATCTCAAAATTGTACATCAGAACCAATAGAATAACAGAATTTGTATAACAAACCAAATGTAAAAAAAAAATAACACAAAATTTTGGTACAGCTGCTTTGAAAATGATGATCATTGAAATAAATGTAATAATAGAATTTTTGGCTAATGATACATACTAAAAAGTAAAAAAATTGATTTGATTTGTATTTATAACCCAAAATTTTGATATTTTTTTAAATTTTGAGTGATGATATTTTGACTAGAGTTAATACCTTTATTTGGATTTATATATCCGGATCAGGGACGATAATTTTTTGCAAAATGCATAATACCACAGAATTTGCAGAATTTACCCATTTTTGTAGAAATTGGATTTTATCACAGAAAATTGTAGAATTGACCTAAAATTTACCAGGACCCAATCAAATTGCGAGTTTAGCAGAGAGTTTCAGAAGGATAGACAATCAGTTAACACAAAATACGAGCATGGTCGTCAGAAAGCTTCGGAACATTGGTATTAAACCAAGTTTTGAGTGCAGAATCAGGGGTTTTATTGCAGAAATTTGCTAAAATTTTATTTGCAGATAATCGCAGAAATTAAATTTAATCGGCGCAGAATTTGAGTTTACCGCAAAAATCATTGTCCCTGATCCGGATATGTATATACTATGTCATGTAATATAACGTGACATAATATTTTTATATCCGGATTTATTCTATGATAAAACCGGTTTAATCCGGATATAAAAAATAAGTAGCTGCGCGACACTGTCGCGCTAAACCAGGAACAGATGATAACTTCAATACAGAATAGTTATATAAGCTATTGTTTTGAATTCAGATAAATAAATATCGGGTATAAAATTA